AAGATACGGATCTCCTTGGCGCCACCGTCTCCCGGGCCCTTCGCCACGGGGCCACGCAAGTAGCGATGGCCACCTCTGTTCTTCTATTTTTTGACCTCGCGAACTTTCGTGCGGTTTAATTGCGCCTCGGCTCGGTTACTTGCCTCCTGATTGTCTGCCGGTGCTGGTGATAAAGTAATCTTTCTAATTTTTGTTCCTTTTATCGTTTTTTATAATTTTGATGATATCGTTTGACTCTTGATTCAAATCTAATTTCGTTTTTCAATCCCTTTTCGCTGAAGTAGTATTTTTATTGAGAAAAATTTTAATGTTTGAATTGGTGATTGGTTCTATGATGCATCGAAAACATTGACGAGTATGTTAGAATTCTTTTAAATGTCTTGACAACTTAAAACAATGAAGAAGTGTGGCTTAAACATAAATGGTCCATTTTATTCATGGAACGTGAAAAGGTATGCTCGCCTATATTATGCTTACCTTATGATTAACCCAGCTACATTCTTTAGGTCCCTTTCGATCTAACTATGTTTCTCCATTCCTTGATAGTAATAATTTCTTCCAACGTTTCTTGTCCACCTTCCAACAATAAAGACAGTTTCACAAAGAATCATACATCCACACGATCTTCACCTCTCCGAAAGTTGGCACTTGCGTATTCCTTGTCTCCTTTCTTCACAGTCTCGTAGCATCCATAAACGAGCATTTCCCACATTCCACTAACGAACGGTGGAAAACAAAAAGAGAGTCTGGCCGATCACACCAGGTGATTCGTGGCCTCTTCAGTCCATCACTACGACAACGTGGGCTGCTGTCGGGGCCTCGAAATGCTGGCTTTCGAGGGCCCTAAACGCGGTTTAAACGTAACCGATACCCCAGCGGGGGTCCCAGCACCGGTCCTCTTTGCGTCCGCCATCGAAAATTCGTTTTGACGATTGACAACGGCACCGAACGAACGATGAGGAACGGCCGGTCAAACGAACGAAACCACCGGTTTTCCTTTACCCAGACCCTCGCGTTCATTATCGTGGGCACGCGTGTCTACTGTGCCTTGGATGATCCTCCTCGTATCGAGGGATCGATCGAAGCCGGATATGTCCAGTTGAATTTACCGAGGGGACACCGTGTTCCAACCGTTATCCTGAAGACGTTACTCCGCCTGGACCGTGAATTATCGTACTCCCGTGTCAAAGAAACGCAGTTAATTTATCGTCCACAAATGGTCTCTCTGGCACAATTCAAGTAGTATTAATAATGAAATTTTACAAATCATAAGTCACAAATTACAAATTACCGGTATTAACAAATACCTTTGCATTATAAAAAGAAAGGAAACTTCACAAGTAGATTTTATAAATTATAACTCCATTGGTTATTCCATATTTCCCAAAAAATTATAAAATCGTAAAAGAGTAATCTATAAGCTATAACTTATAACTTGTCGGCTTATTGTCATTAATGGTTAGTCAAATATCGCGCAAAAGAGACCGGGGACGTTGTTTTTCGTGATGCTCAGCCAGATGGCGATTCCTCCTTGACACGAAATCTACGGTGAAATAAAAATGAGAAATTGGTTTATTTGATTTTACAAATAAAGTGATTTTTATACTATCGTCTATTTATATTTATTATTATATTATATATCTTCACTACATTTTCAACGTTACGATAGAAAAATGTTCCTCTTTTGTCTTGCCTCTTTACCTTACCCTTATCTTTTTTTGTAACTGGGCTGAAATTCTCTGCAATTTAAATTTAAGTTAAAATAAAAAATGTACCTGCGTTAATAAAGTTCCATATTTATCCCTAACGAATAGTTAACATTTTATAGAATCTATACGAACTTTTAGAACGTGACTAGAGACATATATCTCAATCGCTTTAATATCCTCACATTAGACAGACACAGTTAAAAATTGGGAAACATGAGAGAAGTTGAAAAGGCAAAGGACACTTCAGAAATCGAGCCCACAGTTGAAAGCTCGAGCAGACGAGATTTTAATAAACGCATCTAACGCTGCGTCATTTCGAACAATAGAAAATTGCACGTACGGTATGCATCGGCATGGTTGAGCAGATACAGCGTATAATTTAGTAACAGGGGCCGGGGGTTCCATGCAAATATCGAGAACAATGAAACGACGAGGCTCGCATTAATTAAGTCGTAAGCAGAATAGGAGACGTTCTTCGATTCGTTGATCGAGCGCCGTCGTCGCTCGACTACGACTCGCGAGGAGAGCCGAGTTAATTGGCTCTCTAACCAAATAATTGACAGTAAGTAGGAAATGAGAAGTTATTCCTCGTAGGAGTTGTTTGTCGTCTCCCACTTTTCTTTGCCCGTCGCTATCGCGAATCGACTTCGGCGAATTAACGAGCGAACGTCGTAATTAACCACTGTCAGGGAATCAGACCCCCCTCTTCTCCTTCGATGTTGAAACTTCTTAGAATTCATCGAGTTCAACCTCGATCGCAATAGTGTCGTTCAATGAATATTAGACGGTTCTTAGATCTCCAACTATACTCAACTATGCTCCACTCTATGCCTTTCTTTACGAAGATTATCTTTCATCGAGATAAACCATTCATTCACAGAAGAGAGACTTGACCGCGTGAAAAACAGGATTTACAGGGACCGATAATTGGTAAATAATCTCTTCAAACTTGTCCTATGCCAGAATGATCATCATCTACAACAGAAATTGTCGCAATAAGCTTATCGTTACCACAAAGGATTTTCCTAGTTCCCGGTAAATGGACTCTCTCTAGCATAGCAACATCCTTTAGTGTAATCCTGCTAAACTAGACTTACGATCAACGATCCTAAGTCCCTCAGATTTACTGAATCGCGCTCGATTGTCATAAAGCTGTTGTTCCAATGTGTACCTGAAATATTCTTTCTTTTAAAATGGATCCCACCCCAATACAAATGCAATTATGTATTAAACTAAAGGACATGACATATTTTTAAATAAAATCTTAGTTTGTTTTAAACATGACTCAATACACTTTTTGAATAACTATCTAAAGTTCACTATTTCAAATTTATAAGAATCGTCATTTCTAAATTAAAAAATTCCTATAATGTATCTAAGAACAATATTGGCCCATCGAATTTAATCCTCGGAGGAGTAACATCTCATATGCACCACCTTAATCTGCGCATTTTTATGTTTTCTTAATAAATTATATATTTACAGGCTCTGAGATAGAGAAATGGAAGGGTACCTATAATAATTGAGGAGAGAACAAGCGACGGTCGTAATGGTCATGGAAGGGAGAGGCTGGCGCCGTCGAAGATGACCAGGAAAACGCCCAGTCTAGGCAAGATGACGTTGTAAATATTTTCTGTCATCGGTCGGCTCTGTGTCAGCGCCCGGAGTCTTGTCTTCGCTTTAATAAAGGTACTGGCAGCATGGGTACCTCTTTGGAAAGTGCGTCACCTGAGCCTGGTATCGGACACTGATGGTGCGGATAGCGGCCCTTTGTGTCCTTCGTGTACCCCTCTTAGCCGAAAAGATCACCGCTCTCAAAAGACCTGCCCTCGCCATTCATCACTTCCGCCGCGCTTTCGGTCCCGGGAGCAGCGAAAAAGTCAATCTGCAGATTCTCCGTCTTGAACGTTGCTTGATTGTCAAAGAACGAATAAAAAAAGCTATGGAAATTGTAATCGAGGTCTTCGATGTACAGTGGCTCAAAAAAGTATTTAAACACTTACCTTAGTAAACGTTCATGTATATACTGTATGTCTTATACAAAATGTTTTGAAATTTCATTAGTGCTGTATACAATCGTCCCGGAAAGTAAGTTAATGCTGCAGCTAAAAGTTTACTTCCCTTTAATAGTCCGTACTTTATATAACGTGCATAATGTATTCATAAAATATTTCTACAAGTGTTAGGATACCTTTGTGAGTTAGTGCTCAGGAATTTTTCTTATCAACGCTAATAGGCTGCTCGTTGTTAGTGATGAAATCATGGCCATTCTTACAGACGATTCTCTGTAAAGAAGATTCTACTTTACTATGGATTCTATTATAAAAGCTCCGTAACATTCGAAACTTTCAATTGCAAAACTTTTCCCAGTAACTATAGGCTATGGTTACCTTCGAGAGGAATTTCTTCGCCAATAGAACCTGCAAAGGTCTAGTAGCATACGGTTAACGCTTCTAATTGCAAAACACGGTGCTACTCTTCCTTAACATGCATCGAAAGTGAGAGTCGTAGCTCTTCGGGACGTAAATTCGCTCATTTGTACTTGCAACACTCGGCGCAAGATCGCTGGCGTAAAAGGCGCGCTCGCGCCATTCCGAATGTCCGGCGTCCTTTATATCGAGGCGGCAGAAAAGGTAATTTGCAGATTCCAGCGAACAGGTTTCAACCGAACACACAGTCGGGGTGCTAATTTGTCCCGACGCGGAGATAAGGATCTGGCAAAAAGGTTCAGCACAAAACGAAGCAATTAAAATGATAATGCGACCAGACGGGGACATCTTTTATTAGCGGCCTAGCGCAACTCTATGAAGACCATTCGCCAATTTCATGATGGAATCTAAATCATAAACCAAGTACCTAATCTAACAATTAAATTTATATCGTTGTTTGAACCAACGAGTCGATAAATCATCTTTGCGTTCCATAATCCATACGTCTTCTAAAATTCCTCGTCGAATACTACAGTGGCATATCTTTTAAAAGACGACTGTTAGTTCTTATCCATGTAAGAATTATCTTCCTCGATTTTTCGTTTCTGAACTTCCTCCAAACAATTCAAAAGCCCATTTACATATACAATCGATTCATTGCCAGGATTCTTCAGCTTTCCAGCGCCGATACGTCACGTCCCAGTTCCAGAAGGTTCGTCAGACATCCCCGGTCCTCGTCGGCCAAAGGAGGTAAGACAGAGAAACGTTTACCTGGCTGACGACGGCGGCGACGCCTTTGTCTCAGGGACCCCGGAGATAATTAAAAACCGAGTAAAGCGGACAGAACGCGCAGCAGTCGGTAAATCCACTTGGAAAGGGACACAGAAGGGAGAAGATCGTATCTTGAATTTACACCCATCAACCGCCACCTTGTTCCAGCCACCTTCATCCATCTACTTGTGTGTAACCAGTCGCCGGATCCTTGGTCCTCGATGATGGCCAACGATACGCCGTTGCTCGACGCTGTAAAACCCGATGTTCGACAGGAGTTCGGCCATCGGGCTACACGTAAATATCCGGCGTGGAACGTGGATCTACCGGTACATCATCCAGCCTCCTTTCTTTCCGCCTGATCGCTGGTATTTGACGGCAAACGCGTTTTTTCCTTCGTCGAGATCTTTCTCAGCGATTCCTTACTGCCGCGTTCCTTCTTGCCTCTGGATACTTTACGGAGTGTCGCGTGAAAATTGAAATTCGAGATATGGAAAGGCTCTCGATCTTAGCCCGTGCACCGGTGTGACGAGTTTATTAAAATGGTTGCTCGTTAAGACACCAGATGGAAGTTGGTACCAGGGACTTGTTCTTTCATCCAAGATCAACGTCTCCCAGGTTTTGTCCGATCAGTTTAACAGGTTGTTCGGGATTCTTCGAACTGGTAAACTGGAACAGGATAAAACAAAAGCAACCGAAGACGTACAATTTAAAATTATGGACCACTGTTACCACTGTACCTCTGAGGTTCTTATATCATTCCTAGTAGTCGTTGTTCAAGAGTCGTTTATATTCTTCGAAGTCATGAAAACGTATCGCGAGAAAGAATAAAGTTGCAACTTAATTAATTATGAAACATTGGATGCTTTTAAAAGTTAAGATACATGACTAGATCCAGATTCTCAAAATCTTGACATACACAACTATGATTTTCAACTTATCATAAATAAATTACATTTCTCTAAGATAGCTTTTCGTGTCGTGGGTGATGTATAAACTGGAAGCAGATTGAAGTTACAAGTGAAACAAACGGTAGCAGATTAAAAGGGACGTAACATCGTAGAGTCGAAGGAAACGTCGAGGAAAGCCAACGTAACTTTTCCTCCGGAAGTTTCGACATGATGGTTTCGCTGCAGTGGCTTATGGTTGAGCCGATGTTATTTGTCATTAGAAGAGAACGGCGAGCTTCATTATCCGAATAATTAAAGCTTATTATATGATGTAGCGGCGCTCGTTATCTAACCGGTTCCGTTGATGCGCGTCACAGATAAACTTATCTGTCGTGTAGGAGCGCTTGTAACGAATCAATTATATTACTTATGTAAGCGAGCGCGCGGGTTTCGCGCGCTCCGCCACTTATCGCGGCGAAACTAGCGCTGAAACGTTTTATGCTGTCCTGATAAGCAACCGTTAGCATTATAATGCGCGGAAAAGGCGATCTACGGCGGTCGATCCTTGTCTGTTGGTGGTCTCGTGCCCTCCGTTCTGCTCGGTTGTCAGCACTGCTGGATGGAAATGAAGAATCTCCGTGATAAACCATTATCTGCATACGACATTAATAATACGAAGATAAATTGTATATATCTTGTGAAGAATTGGAATTTATCTTCCATAATTAAATTAAGATCTAAATTTCTCCAAATTAATGGCTAGAACCATTTAGACAGGGCTATTTGACTCGGAAGGATGTTTGAGTCGAACTAAATAATCCGCTATGTAATTCAGTAAAATCGGTTATGAACAATTTTTAAACTAGAAAATAGATTACATATTTAACTTCTAATTAATGGTTTGATAAAACAGTGAAGTATATTATATACATTGACAACTCTATAGCCATATATTTTCAGGATGTTGAAGCCCAGGTGACTCAAATAACTCTATTATGCTATATACTCCTAGATGTATTTACTCTAAAACGGTACATAAAAGGTAGGAAAAGAGAAGACATTCTGTATTCTCCATACACTGCGAACAGCAAAGTTGCTGAAGTAAGGTACACCGTGCTGAATAACAAAATCGTGTATATACAAACGATCTTCCGTCTATTTCGAGAGACACATCAGTCAGCATGCCGAAAGATGGTCTTCCAAGGATTAGCCTCGGTCGCGGGATTCGGCCCGAAAACCGCGAGCTGCAGTCTAGCAAAACTGTTGGACCGGTTTTTTCCTCCTCCGTCCCCGAGATGATCGTCTGGAGGTATTCAGCCAATTCCCATTTCGCGTCGCCATGCATTTATGCCTGAATACAAAGTGCGAGAGGAGGTTCCCTAAAAAAAAAAAGAAAAGAAGAAGTGAGACAGCGAAGAAAACGACGAGTCGGAAGAAGGAGGAAAAAGGATAGAAGGAAGGGAAAAGGGAAACCGTTGGATTCTCCGTAAATCTTCCATGCGTGTAACTCTTCTGACGAGGAAGCCACGGCGCTCTCGTTGCGCGGAGCGGCCGGAGTTGTTTATGCTTTCCTGTGCAGCGCTTTCTGAAATATGCAAATCGCGAATTCGCATAATGGCGTTATCGCAGTAGGATGCCGCCGTCGGCGACGACGTCGAGATAGCTGAATCCGAGCGGGTCGAGCTCTTTCTTGACATCAAACGGCCACCGCCGGCTCGCCAGCCCCATTGATTTGTCCCTGAGAAGAAACATCTCAGCGGGCTTTTCGTACAGCCGCGATAAATATATGATCTGCGAATCCGCCGAGTGATCGCTATGACTCACGACGATTCGACCACGAGGAATACCAAGTCGTTCGAACTGTGAGGTCGATCGCTCCGGCTCCGTTACTCGATGAAACGTTCGTGGATGGCTTTCTGTATTAGCCCTGCTACGTCCTTTGAGTCATTTATGATCCAATCACATTCTTTTATCATCAAAAAATTCGTAATTTTATAGATTTATAAATAGTGATGAGACTTAAATTTTTTAATAGATAAAAGTTTGTCTTCGTCTTGCACTCGGTATTTCTCCATAGACATATGTATCTATAATTTTTCGTTTGTCAATATAAATGATATATTCTACTGTTTATCATGCCTCTAATAACCTTTTCAAATGTAGATCCGTTAAAAATAGTTCATAATTGAATTTAGCGAATTAAGAAGGAAATTACTTAACTTAACTCAAGTATTCTTCTGACTTCCAATACATGTCATTTCTTGTTCCAACAGCATGTTAGTGTATTCCTCAACACATTCAGTATTCCCTTGTTGAAACGAGATTAAAATTAGTATATAAAGAGAAAAGATTCTTCCGGTTTGACGACATCTCTTCTCCGACTATCTTTTAACTGATAAATCGGTATCATTTGTAATCGACTTATACAGAAGTAAACCCTAATGAATTACATTTAAGATAAGCTAGTAAGCTGATTGTATGTGTTTTGAGCCTCTCGCAATATCGTCCTTTTTTTTCATTTGCAAATTGCTCCATGGTGAACATTGCTGTTTCGTGGTGTTGTTAACCTTCTTTTTCCAAGTACCTGGAATCCACCTCTTCTCGCAACGATCTAAACTGCAGAAAATTATATCGATCCGTGTCACGCAAGCCTTAAAATGTCGCGTTTCACTCGCATGTAGTCAGTCTACCGGCGGCAGCCTCGGTGGTCTTGCATTTACAAAACAGCCAGACGAAATGAATGAATTATTCAGTTTCGTATAAATTAACTTAATCATCTTTTTACAAATAAACGATGATGGCGGCATATTAATACAAAGAAGATTTCGATAAGCAACCTAACAAAAACTGACAATTCATAGAAAAATAATCGATCACATTAAATACTCGTAAACTTCTAATGTATCACTATATTAAATAAATGAATGTTCTTTTTGTCCCCAATATTAAACAGAATATAAGGACTCAATTTTAGACGTAATACATCATCGCCATACACCTCTGACGATCCGTCTACAACATAGAAAAGAACCAAATATGTAGATGATGACAAGATGAATACATCGAATTTCCAGGCAAAAAATAATTGTCCAATTCTACCATAGAGAACAACTTTAAAATCAAAAAGCAAACAAGAAGAAAAAGAAAAAGAGACACAAACCTGTACTCATTATGCTCGTTCGATTCAAGCGGTTAGACCCGACTCATTTATTTCAGGCGACGCAGAAACAGGAAAGACCGAGGCAGAAAGAGAGACAGGCGAAGCATCAGGACGGAAGAAGGAGCGACGCGCGCTGAAACGTATCCGCGGTTTATTATTATTTTATTCGGATGTTCTTCGTCGCGTTATACCCCATAACCCACCCTCTTCCCTACACCTTTTCCTGTGGCACCGTCGCAACGCCACCCCCTTCCCTGCCACAGAACCACCACCATACTTCTCTGATTCTGCCCCACCGCGAAGAGAGAGGAGAGACCACCCCTCGGTGTTCCACGCTCGCTTCGTAGCAGTCAAGTCGTAATCCCCCTTCACAAGGTCCTTAACAGGCAGGGCAGGACCCGGCCGAGTACGCGACAGGGACGTTAAAATTTAAGGTTTCCGTCGACACGTTGCGACCCATAAATTTCCTCGCTCGAAGCCGTCGCTCTTTCCTTCGGCCACGCTTGACAAATTACACCAGCGGCATCCCCGCGGAAACTCTGCTGGAAATCACTTTGCCGCTTACTTTTATCGAGATCGATTGAAAAAATAAAACGCACGTGAGTGAATAATCGATTGAATGGATCATACACTACCATTTTACCTAAATTAGTTAAAGAAATTCTGAAGATAACTTCTTTTATATTGTACATGTTATATCATATTTAACATGTTTACAGAGTACAGTGTTATAGTAGTTCGTCTTTTAATCTCCTGACGAGGTTAACTGCAATGTTAGCGGAATGTTAGAAATGTTTTCTTAATAGACATGGCTCTCGTCCAGAAGCTTCAAACTTTGTTAAACGCGGCAGTGTTAAGTATAACACTGCACAGTGTAACAATGTCAAGTGTGATAACCCAGACTATGAAAATGATATGAATCTGGATACATCCTAAAACATAATAAAATCATTTTTACAATGTTACACTAAATGTTATGTCACCATAAAAAATAACTGATACAAGAGTTATATAATTATACATACCTCTAAAGATTCTATAACCAACATTTTGCGATTAGTAACATTTTCTTAAAATCCTCAATAGTCCTGAATAATCATCTTATCCTATTTCACAGGACAGTTAAAGATACATCTACAAAAACGATTCGCTTTATAATATATTTCATCTAATCAACATCTTCTGAGAATGAAAACTTTCAAATGAAGCCAAATTCGAAGAAACGACTTTTGCTCAACTTCTGAATGAAAATCGATCACATGGATCGATTGAAATGTAATTGCATCGGTGGCGCTTTCTATGATCGATACAACCTTAATGTCAACTTTGTTAGGTTATGTGGTTCGAATGACAAAAAACGACATAGCAAGTGTTTTAGAATACTAAATGATCGTAATGGTTTAAAAAAGAGATTTAGAGAGATATTCTTTCTGGTTCTTTCCCTTTTTTGATGTATATCGAGTTCGCGAATGTCTAGACGATGAATTTATATTCAGACAATGTCTCCTCTAGAACACAATCCATTTCAGAAAGTGACTTTAAGAAGATGCTTCATTTTTTTATATTTGAAACGTGTTTTTATGTTTCGTGTGATAGGAATTCGTTTAATACATGATGCATTCTACGATCAGAAAAATAATTCTACTTAAATTCTAAAATAATTCTACTGAACGAAACTTCATAGCCATTATATTTTTAATTTTCTTACAATTTGGACGTTTTTAATGTTTAATACAGAATAAGCCTTACCTGATTAACAGAATTATCATGAAAAACGTTTGAATATTGCTTTCATTTTTATAAAATGTGTCCAATAGTTTACTCGGAAATGTCATATTTCGCTAACAGCGCTACCATTGGTTGATTCAGGACCTGAACTCTATTATGAAAAATGATGAGTTTTGTTATTAAAAATCTTATTATAAGAAAAATTCGTAAAAAGTTTTAAAAACAAAATATGTACATTCCAATCGTCAACTACAATATTACAGTCTCTTTCAAATTCGAAATATTAAATTTTGAATTTTAAATGTCAATAGGTGGCGCCACTAGATGTTCATTTATTAACCGCCAAAATTGTATTTCCGGTTATAACAGTCGAGTCCATCGTCGTAATTTTCGTTAAATTACATTTTAATTGTGTCCATAATTACAACTTAAACGCGAATCAAGTGATAAACAAATTGTTTAATAAAAAAGTATTCATAGTTAGAATAGTGTCACGTTTTTAACGATGTTTCGTTGCGTTATAACTAAAATAGAAATGAAGCACTTTGACATGATTTGAAAAGCCTTTGTGTAACTCAGCAACATCAGAACATCAAATTAAAGGTATTTTAGATTCTATATTTATTATATATTTTTATAACTTTCATATAATGACAAGATTATGTCACTTTTATATATTTTTATTGCATAAATATGTAACTTTATATATGTTATATATGTATGAAATTTTGAAAAACTAAAGTAATTTGCAATCCTTTATACATGAAGCTTTTTAAGATTTCATAAAAGTTATATTTAATATAGCTTTATTTTTTATTTAAAAAATGCTAAAGCGGCAGGTGCTGCTACCTACTCCTCTATCGTTAAATAAAAAAGGTCACCTAACCATCTAATTACCGACAGTTGATAACTGACGCTCGTTTCAAAATTTGAAAAATTCTTGGTTTCAAATATTTAAATTTAAATAATCATTATATAAATTTTATATGTATAATTTTTTTATTTTGCAGTTTTGAATAAATAAACATTTATTGAATTACTACAAAGTTTCGTAACAAGAAAAACAACATAGCCATTTATTCTCAACCATTTATTTTTTCTTTTTTCTCTGTATTACTAGAATGTTAAACAAAACAGTCTGTTCCCTAGTTGCATAAATTTCAGCACGGAAAATAGTTCGAAAATGTTGCAACTAACAAATACCAAAGACTTATAAAAAACGGTTCGTTCACGACTTCTGTCGATCAAAGATTTTGAGCAATCATCGGGACGAATTTTTTATCGTGTCAAAATGTGACATATAGTATAATCAATATTGAAATGTGGTTTTACCACATGCAAAAATTATCGTTCGAATTTTAACAAATTGTGCAATATAAAGAACAAAGTGCGCGCTACCCATTCTCCTCTTTCAAATACATCCTTTTTTCGGCATTAATACATACATTTATTGCTCTCTTCATCTGTATGGACACAACTGTCTCCACATTTTGCAGTTTTGGGAAACAGATTTTCGAAAGAAATTCTCAAGTTGCATTGTACATTATGATTATAGATCCATGAAACGAAATATGTTAACATTTATAAAAACATTTTATGTTTTATAAGTGTTCAAATATTTTTGTATGCCACTGTGTATGACAGATATATAATCAATACAGCGTTTCCATTCAAAGATACAGAGAGATCTGACGAATCCAGTTAAAAAAATAGATGAGAGAGAATTTCTATTCTAGAATCTTGTTCCAGAAAACTATCCCCATCTAATGAAATCATTTCGTGCTTAACCTTTAATTTGTCATGAGGCCTCGCGAAGGTTTTGTTTGATTCATTTCTTCTTCCGTAACAAAGTAGTATACGAAATATGCTCTGATCCTATCGTGTACTCCATTATTGGTGTAAAGAAAAATAATTTGCAAGGGGTTAAGATTTGTGAATGCTCCTCGTGTTCCCCAAATATGTCGAACAGAAGGAGCATAACAATTTACAGAGACTATAAAAATAATGTGTCTACCATTCCGAAGTTCGCCTTCTTCTTCTTCTTCTTCTTCTTCCCCCTCTCCTTCTTCTTCTTCCCCCTCTCTAGCGTGTTCCTTTTTTTTTTTTACAAAAGTTTACAGAGTCTTTCTTTGTGCCCTTCGCGTGTCTATAAAGTTTCCTACTTGTGTACTACGGTAGTCATAAGTAAGCAACGATAACGAGATTAATACTGTTTGCTGAAAATCATTCTACAACGAGTGTTACTCGCTGTTTTACATTATACACGCGATTACTCATACATGATTACTCGGTTGACCATTATTTGTTACGCTAATGTCTTTAAATATATTCGACATACGCAGATATTATTCGTAACTTTGAAACATTCGTTCTGTAACGACAACCATCTTTGATTCAAGTAGTTCGGAAGCTTGAAAATCTAAAAGATTGCAATTTTAACAATTAGATGGTTTCAAACGTTTTAAATGTCAAACAAAGAATTTAACTAAACAAAAATAGAGATATTTAAAACTTTATTATTTAAAAATTCACTCGAATGTTTCAACGATTTACATCAAATCTTTTGTTTAAACATTGTATACTTGTCTGCTGTTTAAACATTTAAATCGGACATCATTTTCTCTTGCTTTTGTTCTAATCGGTTTTCGTACATATTCATTTTTTTGAATGATGATTACTCGTTTTCAAAATGTAAGTTTTACAATATGGTATTATTTATTGCTCGTATTGTCCATTCAAATTAATATCTGGAAAATTTTCATTCTTTTTTTTTTGTCATTTTTATTTTCGTCAATACATTATTAGTTTAGTACTGCGAGTAATTTTTCTTTCTTCTTATACATTAAAGAGTAAGAATTGGGGTTCCATTATTTTAGTAACGTTTTTTCAGTCTACTCCCACTTGAGATTTTTCAACTATAGACAGCTTCAAAACACCTTTTATCACAGATAATAAACATTTATTTGGTGTAACGAATCGAAGTGCTTTCAATAACAACAGTGTTCAAATAAATCAAAATTTTTCCCAATAGGAAGAAGACAATGTTAATGCATAGTCAATCGTTAATGAAAATCTGAACGAGAAAGAAACGTGGGTAACAAAGTGAACAAATTTTTATATGCAACACAAAGTGCGAAAACTTACTAATTAATTTGTATAAAAACTATTAATTGTATTTTTTGTTCTTTTTTTTTAATAAGACTCAAAATTCAATTGTAAGTCATTTAAATCCTGTACTCTACCACTCACTCTATTTTGATTAAATTAGGGAACATTTTGTTTACGATTAGAATGTAATAGAATAGAAATACAACTTTTTTTTAATAGTATCAAAAGAAGTTTTGTCTCTACATTATCAATATAAAGCTTTTTACTGTTAAATATATGTTCTGTAAACAGTGTTTTGAACATGAGAAATGTTGGAATATGTATATACAAAACTATATTACATTCTTTTATATTATACACATCATACTACTTTTATCATCACTTATATCTTTGCTGACATGTGTATGCGTGCGTATGTGTAACGTGTGAATCATTTAAGTTAAATAAAAATATAGGATATATAATTTTGTAATTTTGAAATTAAACATAGCATCGAGAACATAAGAAGCGGAAAGATGTAATATCAATGAAAGAAAATTATATTTCCTATGAGAATAACAAAGATATAACTGACGAGCTCAAATTTTATACATGTCGATAATAATCTGTACATGCACACCACCATCATATATGTGGATAATATTTTACAGTATGATGTACATATATATCCGGTAAAGAATATCATTTTTTTACACTCTATTCTACAAAACTGACTCTACAGTAATGCTTACAACTTCTTCGATATAATCCCGTATTTCCACAGAGAATAAAGAACTGGAGCGATCCAGACTTCCTGTTTAGTGTCCCCGGGAACACGTTTTGAAAATTGTTGATCGCGGAACACGCGATCGGTGCGTTTACGAACACCATTTCTGAAAAGCACACGTTAGTTCTATCGATTCTGAATGCATCAGATAAGAATTCTGGATGGAATGCTTTCGTTAGTCTTATAATTACATAAATTCCCGCTTATGAGAACCACAAGGCAAGATCTTGCAGGAATGCGAACCTTTTAGGGCGAGTTCGTCTAGATGGCATCACTGTGCCGTTCACAATAGATTCCAAACTCATACAAACTGATCATTAGATTCATTAATACTGGACATCAAGTTGTTAATAATATTTTTTCACACGATGTCACGCAATATTACAACACAGTCGGCAAAAGGAAAAGATTCTCTTCGTGTTGATCATATATGATTTTTAAGGTTATTGAAGTTAGAAAAATGAGAATGAGAACTACACAACTTAAATTACCAGATCTTCAATTAAGCGTAAGAGAATGAGATTAGTAAAGATTCGTTTCGTTACGAATGATAGATTACTTTGTTAGCGTGGAAACTTCACAAAGCTGTGCTCTCTATCGGCGACGCAGCCCGATTAGGAGTGCAACACCGTTCAGGAGTATGGCACAAATCCGGTGTATGCCTACCGTCTCGTAACTGAACGAAATCTAAATCTGCGAAAAAATTACTTCTCATGGTACCGACTGCGCTGTCGGAACCGAAACTATGCTGCCTGCATAGATCCACGTTTTTATAACATTCGGTGTACTCGTTTAAAGAGTTAGGTAATTTTCCATCATACATCGGCGCCGTTTCAATTACTGTCTTCTTAGAGTTACTCGATTCGAAATTCGTACAATTTTGGGTGGATGCGGTGCAGTCTTTTTTGTTATCTACATTAGTCTCATTTCGAGTATTGTACGAGAGAAAATTATCGTTCTTGGAAAGACTCGAATTCGAATAGAGACTATCTGTATAATGAAGCGCAGTATTATTCCTGAAATTGCTTTCTTTACGGAGATCCTCCTTCTGCAAGGTGTTAAAAGGCGAATAATCTTTATACATCTTATCTTTGTGTTTGGCTGTACAGTCTAATACTGTGAGACTTCCTTGCCTAGACAATATACTACCGATATCCGAAACATTACTTTCCTGCCTGGTTACCCTATCGTTGATAGGCTCATCTTCGGTAACTTCTCCCGCGCTTACACTTACTTTTGATTGTAACGAAGTACCAGCTTCGGATTGACTGTTCTTCTGCGGCGAAAATGCATTCTTTGGCGTCTCTTTTGTGGGAGAAATCTTTGTCCTTCTGAGATAAGAGCCTGCCGATGATTTTGAAGTCTCGCCTACAGTCTTCTTCGTATCGTTATTGTTCTTACCATCAACTTTACTTTCCTTCTCTACCACGTTCATTGATTTTCCAATTTGCCTCAAGTAGGAACTAACAGAATTCGTATCCGGCATTTTGAACTTGCCCTCCAACTTCGTTCTCGAGTGGCCGCCACTCATCGAATTATATTCACTGGATTTCTCCGCCGACTTGGAATTCAAATTATTATTCACTTTGTACGAGTACTTGTTATCGATAATGTATTCAAGAGTATCCGACAAAGAGCTCGGACTCGCTCTGCCCACATACCGTATTTTTTCGATAGTAGGTATCCGTTTCAAATTAGATTCCGTTTCATTTTTCACGTACGAATCCTGATTATCGTTAGAAAAATGAGCAGGCGATTCGGTCGACTTGATAGTTTGCCTTGGAAAGCAGCCAGTGAATCCACTAGAGTCCGGAGAAATAACAATGTCTGGTTTATCGACGGAAGCTTCCTTAGACCTCGAGTTTTGCCTCGAGTAACGACCAGAGGTTCCAGATGATTCGTTCGTTTTACTATTTTGTCTCGTATACCTTCCTCGAGGAGTTATCACGTCAGGCACTTGAAGAATATTGCTACTAGGCACAGTTTCTTCGCGTTCCAGCGTGCTGTCGTCACAACCGCTGCATCGTTTCTTCTCCTGGTGTACTTGCCCTTCTTTAATAGGCTTCAATTGTGGCGTCAGTGTTTCTGGAGTCGTGGACTCGCTCGTACTCGTACTCGATCCTGTGTAGTTTCTAACATCGAATTCCAAATGCGATGGCAATTCTGCACCCACTGATAAATGCTTTGCTAACGCTTTCAACCATAACTGCATCACTTCGAAAGGTGGCCTCTTGTCGGGATTCAGGTCGCAGCAAAGAAAGGCGATCATATAAAACATTTCTGGGCAATTGGAGCAAAATTTCTCCTTGAATACGTTTTGGTTCAGGCCAAAATCTGAAGAGCGTGGTAAATAATCGGGGTCGGCTTGAACCCGGCCAATGATTTCACAAACCACGATACCAAAACTGAATATATCAACTTTTTCGTCATACTTGTTGCCCTTCATCATCTCAGGCGCCATCCAATATGGATTCCCGACTACTGTGTATCGTTTCTTTCGCTCTTTCTTTGATGTTTTCACCTCTCCGTCGGAATGTCTGCTGTATTTGCGACTGTGGGGGGAATTGCCATTCTGTATTATCCTGGCTAGGCCGAAATCGGCCACGACTACAGTCTTATCCTCGCGTACGAGACAATTGTGCGAGTTCAAATCTCGGTGAATGATATTCATGGAATGTAAGTAAGCCATGCCAGCGGCTATGTCTTTAGCAAACGACGTCCGTTGCTCCCACGGTAAGATTTCGTTCGTATCATGAAGCAGAGCTCTCAGAGTTCCGCCCGCTATGTACTCAGTGACCAAATGAAGCTTTTTATCTTTGTACAGAACACCAATGAATCGGAGAACATTGTTATGATGTAACGAACGTAACACAGCAACCTGTTAAGGGTAATAACAAAGAATAAAATAATATACATAAATATAGGGATACATAAAGGATCCGGTGACAGTGAAACGCAAGCTTACCTCTTTTAAAAAATTCTTTTGAGCTTCTTCGTCTACTCTGTATAACTCTTTTAGCACCATCACTTCGTTGGTATCTCTGTGTGTGACTTTGAACACTTGCCCGAAAAATCCAGTACCGAGCAGTTCACCCTTTACTAGATCACTGGCGCGAAATATTCTTTGATTCTTTGGTTCGACACGAAACGATCTAGTTCTGCTTAAGTCACATGTAGGATTTGTGGGCGAAGATCTATAAATACATTACAAATATATTACAGAACAAACTTTAAAATAAATATATATTCAGGCATCGATAGACATTATGAAAGCATTTCATTTGAAACTTGATCTGTACCCGTCAAGCAGTCGCGACATGGAGCTACTGCGCTCTTTGTGCATAGGATCCCTGGTCCTCCGCAATTGTCTACTTCGTGTCCCACTGATATATCCTTCATCCCGGCGTTTAAATAGACGTTCTTTATTTTCGGGACTTGTTCTAGGACTTGCAATCGATGTTAACATCGCTGCGGTCGGCGATGAATATGCGGGACGTCGAGACACTGCGTCCGGATCGTGCTCAATGGTTAACTGCAATGTTCAATGCATTTTGTTTTTACCATTAACTATTTTTTGGACAGATAGTAAAGACATAAACTGCCGTTGTAGGATAAAATTTACCTGTAAAACTGTGTCGGAATGTTGTATTAGATTTTCAATGCTCTCTATAGGCTGATCCTTAACCGGAGTGCCATTTATTTCGAGTATGCGGTCACCGATGTGCAAAGATATGAGATCACTGGACATATTCAGTCTGTAACACATTTCACATGACATTTCTAATATTCATAAATATATGATATATGTATATATTTTTTAAACAAAACATGCAAAACTGCGTGCATTTAATTCATATTTAATTTAAATATTAGAAGTGAAATTAAACAGTGGAACTAATTTCCATGTTTATTTGTGACCTAATACATTTTCCCTCTTTTTCTTTTTAATTATGAGATACACATAAAATACAGAGCACAAGAGATATAAAATACGAAAATGTGAAAGAAATGAGATATATTTGAATGTAAAATGTCATTAAAATAAATATAGAAGTATGACATTAGAATTGAAATCATATTAGTGAAATAACATGTAGCAATTGTCCGAAGTGCATGATTTAAACTTTCACGTCATCCTAAATATTACATGCTCACACATTTAAGCAGCACATATTATGCAGTAAACAAATAATATTACACAAGGAAATTATTTTGCACAAGATATATATTTTGCGTGCAGTTAAATAGCAGATACTAAAAGATACACATTTAACTTATAACAAATACAATATCTAGTGCATATTATTTATTTGTTATGCTGTACCTATGATTAGAGAAGTGGCAGCATAGTCTAAATAGAACCTCCATCACAGAGGCCAGCAGCTTACTGATTTTTCCACGAACATTTCTCATTAACCTGCATTTTAGTTCAAAGTTATTAGAGGCTGCTCATCTATTTTGCTTTATTTATTTTTAAATAACCACATTCATGCATAGTGTTAAATATTTATAAAAAAGCTACAACAATATAACTTTACAATGGCAGTACTAGTTTATTTTAGAAACGAATGCTTTCTATCATCTCTTGTTTTGCACGTTTGTTTTAAAACAATATAAAAAATTGTTGACATTATTTTATAGCCCCGTATCTTGTTTTTAGCTTCTAACCACTGAATGAAAACAAATTTATATTCCTGTACATACTCAGATATGCGAAGTAAAGCACCACAATTTCGGGGATTTGGAGTTGTGTCTAATGTCAATTTAATTCCTCTTTGTTTCTCAGGATCAGAAGAATTTGGAGGTATCTCAACCAATCTGATGCTATGTGGTTTTCTTGAGAACGGACAATTAGCTGTCCTATTGATTGGTTGCATTTGTCTCTTGTAACAACTCCCACAATATAACTTGGATCTCTCAACTAGTGCATAACTCTCTCCATCTCCAATGAAGGCTCCACAGGAGTTGCAGGCAAAGCATTCTGGGTGAAATTTGTGATCTCCTGCCAACATGACAGGACCTGTAATGATTTGGCCACAACCTTGACAAGCTTCACCATAGGCAGCCCCATAATCATCCTTACAGAACAGTAAGCCATCTTTCTCAAAGTACCATGTGGATAGACCAACATCACATGCTGAACACCTAGAATATGATAGCTTCATGAATGACTTATTCCTATTCATATTACAACTGAATTTCAATGACAAAAAAAGTGTTAACACAAATTATTTTCCAATGAAATATCTTTAGTAGTATCAAATTTTTATAATCTTATGAAAGTACTACTAAATGATACAAAATTTAATATAATTGGACCTAATTAATTAGTAAGTAAATGCTATAAGTGCAATGGTTTAAGAATACTTTTTGTAGCCAATATATCATTTTTTTTACTTATTTTTACCGAAAGCAATCGATATGCCATTCTTGATTTAGTGCCTGTATGAATTCATCTTCATCAATTGCATTGAGACATCCAGCACACGTTAATGTCCCACCACTTTCCCTACTTCCCAGGTCTAGAAAATATTAAAAGTAAATTTAAATAAAAAATTCACTTTTGGTTATAGTTTCAAATCATTTTTTATATTAAGAGTATCAAACCCATCAAAATACAGTGATTTTGGGTTTCCTGTTTATGCAATTACTAAATAAGTAAGGCTACTTTTGGTATTTTACTATGTAATTAATATTAGTTTATGAGATAAAATCGTGATTATTTGTATAGTATAATCATTTATATATGATATATTACACATTAAAGATTAAAGACTTGGTAGTTCTAACGTTAAACGTTTCGTCTGTATAGAGTTATTTACATTAACAGCAGTACATACGTTTTTGCATGACTTTCATAGGAACGCGACGCGTACTAGCGATAGAAATTTTCCTAAGTATTAAATTCCGAATAATTGGAAGTTGTTGCAGCTATGAAAACAAACACGGCGCAGTCAAACGGAAAACAGAGCGCGTCAGGGACGTGTAGTAGGAAGGAAACGTGATTCACGGTTGACATTAGGTAAGCGTTGAGAAAGTAGTTATCAACCAGCTGACAATAAATCGACCAGTTCTAAAGCGATCGAAACTTGTCAATAAGAAAGGGACATCAGCGGAATTATGAAATGTTTCGAAGCATTGTTTTCCTTGTCAATACACGATTGAGATGATACAGTTGAAAAGAACGCATAAATAAAGTCTCTGGAAGAGCGTGGGCCAACAGACTTGGAAGACAGGACGCCCACGCGATCCTCGAAGGATCGAGCGTACACAAAATATCATCGATCGATTCATTTGTCGCGTACACTACTTAAAATGTTACGTATATCACACTATGATTTCGGCCGATTCGTCTAGAAATAACACTCTACTTTGCCGAAAAAGACGTACCGTTTAACGAAACTTCATCCATCACAGCATCTAGAACTGACACACTCCCACTCCGCGCTTCAGCCACTGAATATAGAGCGAGCAGATTCGAAATCCATTCTTCACGTTACAGACATTGCGCAGTAGCGCGAAATTTAAACATCACGCAGGAAAAATATACATCGGTTGGAAAGTATTCGAACACTTGCGATTGGGAATAAAAATAGATGAAAATAAATATCAAGTATGTTTCATTAAATACAGCTTATTTACACAAAAATATAAATATTAATTTCAATTAATTACTAAATAATAATCAATGTAATATAAGGATACTATAGGTACAATAAGAATGTCCACTTATTTTTGTCCTCGACTGTATCATAGAAAACTTTCTAGTATATAATATATATGTTACATAAAACATTTTGAAATTTCATTATCACCAGGATGAGACAGTCAGGTTACTCTCTTCTTGAATCATTTTATATTAAAATAAGAAATCAACATAAAACAACACTGATCAACATTTTCCAGAATTAATGTTTATTTAAAGATAGGAAAATTAGTTGGTAAGGAGGTAGTCGTTTATTTTTCACCATACTTTTGGTCTTTGATTTAACAGAAATCAATACAGATGCAGTTTATTACATCTCAGATATATGTATACCTTAAACTAGTCTTTGATAATGCATCAAGATTTTTATCAGATTCCAAAGATAAATGTATGAAGAATCGTGCAAAATTAATACCATTTCTTTATGATAGCATGCATATTCTCTGTGAGAATGTCTATTTTAGATTAAAATATATATAAGTAATGTAATATAAGCGACATTATCGCGTGCAAAGATTAAAAATGAGTATATTATGATATTGTACTTATTATAATGGAAAACTTAATTGGATATATGTTAATACATATTACTCCATCTCACATTCATTGATACAGCTTAATCTCGAAGATCCGGTCTATTCATAGATAAATTTCACATTAAACAAATTTTTTCAATTGTGTTATCTATAGATAGGCTGCGGATATTTATACAAATTCATGTCTTTATGGAAAAAAGTAAAGAAATGGAACCGAGATAGAGATTTGTTTCACTTACTAAATATTATAATATCTACACTACTTCGAATATTTTATCTTTTAATTTCGAATAAATGCATAAAAATCTGCAGTCCATCCATCACTTGAATCGTCAATTCCAAATATGTACTATAAAACTAATTTATATAATATATTAAATATTATACGTGTTATACTATACACTGCGAATTTTTATGTATTTGTGCAAAATTTAAAGATACAAAAATGCACAGAATTTATGTTAGATACAAAAGTATATAAAATATCCAAAGTAGAGTATTTCTTATAATTTTTAATAGACAGGAGAAATCTCTATTTAAGCTCTATTTTTTTCAATTACGTTCATAAACGTATAAATTTGTATAAAAATCCGCAGTCTAATGATAATCCAAATACTTTCGTGAGCCATTGTACGAGTCTCTGAAACTGGCATAATTCAACTTTTCTTTCAGTTTGTCTCGAATTTGTTGATTTCACTGTACCTTTGGTCAATCGAAGGTCTTCAGGAAATAAAGTATCACTGAGATATTCTCAACATAACATCAATGTGACACGTTCAATCGATTGCACTCTTCCCCGGCTGACCTTCTCGAAATATTTACAAAATCCGGATAATCCTCGTCCAGCGACAACTTCCGGCACTCTCAATGCCTCATCGATTATTTGGGCACGAGTAGCCACAAATAACGGTCGGTTGCTTATAACATACCTCTACACGAATAAAACTGTACAACATGCTTACGTCTGAATAATTTCGATCACAGTAAAGATTGTGCAGGGCCGTCGTCATTCTGTTCTCTCTGATGTCTTTGTTTTCTTTCTCGACCACTGCTCAAAATAATCAGTATTCTTTTTTTATAGTAAAATATTGTTAAAACAAAGCCAAAAGACGAAAATTTTCTGTTCAGGATGAAAAGGTATAAGAATTCTTTTCAATAGATCATCGAACAATTTTTAAACCTTTGCTTGTCTTAAACAATTTTTGTTGAAGAGATACTAAACAATTGTTTGTTTTCTTTTTTAGCAGAAATGAAGCTAATAAAAGAACGGAAAATCTCCAAATAAAGAAATTATTGTAGGAATGACGAGTTATCTCCTTGGTTGACAAGTTAAAAGAAGATTCGAGAGTTACGTGAAAGATAAAAGCGTCAAGGGCATTTCAGTGTCAACATGTTTTTCAAGTTCTAGGACGTAAGATATACAGCTAGACGAGAATATGAAATATTTAATGAGGCTCAGACATTGAACTCAACTTGTGTAGCATTCACAGCGAAAATAAGGAATAACGAATCTGTTTGATCAAGTGTCTTCCAGACTATTTTGAGCAGTGCGAATAAAACGAATCATAATCTTTCATGATTCTTGAATATTTAATCCGCATTGTTATTTCTGGTGCTAATTTTATCTTGCATCGGGTACACGAGCGGCCTTAAAAATGTCTTAAGTGAGATAGAAATTCGTTGAATGCACAAGTTTCAAAGTCTAAGCTATCAAAGAGGATAGAAAAATCGTAAACATAGTGGAATTCATTGGTACGTTGTAAATCCATCAAGTTAATGTAGAACTAACATCGTCTGTTACTTCATAAAAGAATTTAATTCGATGCGTTATTACAGTACTGTTTAGAGATTTGTAATAAATTTTAATAAATTCCTTTCAACTTTCTCCGCATCAACTTGATGGATAATCCTAATCTAAGAAGGATCGTAGCCAATGCCGCGCGTCTTTATGCAATTGCATACATTTGCGTAACGGCAATGGCGACGAATGATATGCAAGAGACGCGAACTTTATTTCGGTACCATAGTTCTGGTACAACCTTCCTTTATCGCATTCAATCGAGCAACTATTCAAGCAATTATTCAATAATCATACTGTATCTTATTTCTTCCTGTTGCTGAACTTTGCTTCGATTTAAATTTACCAAAAAACAAACTAAGTTCTCACTACTTTGTATGTTTGCGGTGAATAACTTTCTCTTGTTCTTTCTACGAAGGTTGATCATCTAAACCGTTACTTTTAAAGTTAGAAACACGTTAAAAGAGTAATATTGAGCAGTAAAATTATGAATTATTTTGTCCGTAATATAAATTTGATTCAATTACTTATATGTAACGCCCTTGAAGTTTGCAGTCCTTTTCTTTCAACTTTTGCTCCAATTTCTTTTCAAGGGCATTTGAAATATCGCACAATACCTTTTCTACGCTTCATTTCAAGATTATGAAACGAAGGGCAAAATAAATTTTCGTAGCAACACACGACTAACCTCGCACGTGCTGCAACAAAATTGCAAGGACGACAGGTGTTAACATTTGCATAGCCGTTTCTCGCTTTCAGGCCGTTATGAACCTATCTGTTGTTACCCTCTAATTCATCTTGTTCTACTCAAGGATAACAGTAGTTTGTAGATTTTTATAGCTTCTAGATTCTCGAAGACTTTTAAAAGGAATGTTTAATTCTACAAGAGCTAAGAAACACCAAGTTCTTTTTCTTTTTCTTCCGTTTGAAATAGAAAAGAAAATAGATATTCCCATATCTTTCTGTCAAGATTTTCCAAGAAATCTTTAATTCTATAAAATCTAAGAAATCTCGTCTTATTTCTCTTTTTCTTTTACTTGGAATAAGCCAGAAAAACAAAGAAAGAAGCCTAATACCTTTTACATTCACCAGGAATTAAATCTTTAGATTTCAAGAGCAATCTCAGAGTCAGCGAGAAAAAATGGCATTCCAGGGGAATCAGTGACCTGTAACAATGTAAATTCATGAATGACCAGGAAAGAAGATTCCCAGACAGGTCGGTTCTGCATGAAAGAAAGAAAAGGGGCTTGCGAGGTACGTGGCTGAGGCGCGTGCAATTATCCCGCTCATTAGAACTCTGTTAACTGGCACCACTTCAAAGGCTATCTGGTCCGTTCTTCTTGCGTTTCCGCAATAGCTAGTTCACGTTCAAGGGCATCAACGGTACGTACTTGTCGCTTGGTCGGAATTTGTACTGGGAGCACAACCGGTTCGACTCCGATTCCGCGTAACCATTTCTGTAACAGACCAACCACGTAACAATTACATCGATTACGATCGATCATTTCATTGAAATGTTATCATTGACAGTGTTGTGAAATTTTAGATTATTACGATTAATACGATCTACATGATCTGAAAGTTTATCGAAATTAATTCTTTACGACGAGTGTGTTAGAAGCCATAAGAAAAACCCATAAACACCATCACCATGATCATAAATCATCACCAACTGATACCTTGTGGGAATTTTTAATAAAATTACATCTAATCGATGGTCATACGTAGTCACGAAAATACAGGTTGTTTCTTCTTGAGAATATCACGCATCACCTGGAGGATTGTTTTGAGGAGGAGGACCTTGTAGGTGTAATAGTCCCGCGGCGAGTTTGGACACTCGTACCGTGTCGAATTCACCCAGATATGGGGACAACTGAGGAGAGTCGGTGACGTAATTATTAAGAGCGTATTTAGTCGTTGAACACTGCGGGAAGATAGTTTTCGCTTCTACTTTTTATACACATGTTTTATATATATGTGCGTGTTTTGGATTATCCAAACGATACTAAAAATTTCTTTCTTTTTTCAGGGAAGTATTAAACGAAGAAGGGCAAAAAATACCAAAAGCTTTTCTTCGAAGAAATATCAAATAGAACCAAAAAAATATAAAACAATTCTTTACACTGCTAAGAGGGTAAAAAATGTGACACTCTTTGGTATAATTTTCAAACATTTCCTTTTCTTAAAGAATTTTTACTGAAAGAAGATTAAGAAACTTTTTCTTCTTCCAGTAGAATATGCATGAAAAATTTCGAACAACTATTATTTGAACTCAGTATTTCACAATTTCTTTTCTGTATAACTTTCTGTATAAACC